GGGGGGCGAAATTCCTAAAGGGGGGCGATATTCCTAGGAGATTCGCCCCCCAGGGGGGCGATATTCCTAGGAGATTCGCCCCGGGGGGGCGAATATCCTAGGAATATCGCCCCCTTTTGAGAGGGGGTTGGCGAATCTCCTGGGGGGGCGAATCTCCTGTGACACCGGACTTCTAGCTGGGAGAACATACTTCCAACATAAATAAATCATTGTCAGTTTAGTTCAAAGAATCTTTGTGTCTTTAATTGCATGTTATGTTGTCGTTAGTTACGTGTCGTATATGTTTAATGGGGCATATAGAATTGCTCCGCGTTGTTTCTCTGCTGGCCAAGTTAACGTATATTGCCAAACCAACTAAGTGACTCTCTCTACTCGAGGCTCAATGTTGTGAACAACTATGGAACAACTTTAATTCGGTAATTTACCATGACACAAGCCCAACATTGAATTAGGGAAGTGCTGGGGGGGGGGGGCGTAAGAAAAGGATATTATAAAAACTGTGCGCGAATTTTGTATACAGGGGGCATAGTCTCAACCAATTATGTCCAAGATTGTATCAAGCGAGAGTTTTATCGAACTGAAATTTGTTTTCTCCACAGGTTGGTCTTCATGGAGTGCCTGTAGCAGAAAATGTGAAATTGGCTCACGTACTCGAACTCGTACTATCACCACCTATCCTGCCTATGGTGGATCAGGCTGTCCTACCTTGAGTGGGGTGGATGGTTGTGGTCAGGTGAACGGGGGCTGTGGTGATAGGTGTATCGAAAACGACGGCAGGTGTGTTTGTACTAGCAATCCAGGATACGAACTCCAAGGTAATGATGGTATATCGATATATTATTTTGTTGTAGAATCATAAACTGTGCACTAGTATATTGTAAGTAAAGTTTGTAAGTCACCTAAACATGCAAGTACTGAAGAAGTTGATGTTCTGAAATTTAGTGTGTTGATCATAGAGAGCTTAGTTCAAGAACCATTCCTCGATGATTTGGATCAATAAGGGATCACTTTAAAGTTAGTTAAGTTTGGGGAGAACAGTTTAGAACTGACAGAACTATCCGGTATAAATAAAGGTAAATTTAGGTTCACTGTTTGGGTAATAAAAAAGCAAGATAGATTCCTCTGACTGGACCTTTAGGAAGAACAGTTTATAACAGATAGAGCTATCGAATATAAATAATATTAGTTTAGTATAGCATTTCTGGAATCTTCTTCATTTAATTTCTTCCCAGGCGACAGGAAATCGTGCGCGGACAAAAACGAGTGTTCGGATGGTTCAGCAGCATGTATCAACTCAAACTGCAGGAACACAGACGGTAGTTATGTGTGTGATTGTTTCTCTGGTTATCAACTTTCATCCAACCCTCGTCAATGTGTACCGAAATCATGCACACCGCTGACCGCTCCACAATGTCCTGCTGACGCATATCGTGATGAATTTGGAACAACCTGCACGCCTGCAACAATCAACTGCCCTAACGGGCATCAATATCAAAGATCCTGTACTCTAAAGTGCGCGGACAACTATAAACTTGCAGTGATCGCTCAACCAAATTTCAGACAAAAATTTGCTGAGAATTTTACCACAGTTGATTTTGATAGCCCTAGTGATAGAACTGTGTGTTCATTGGATTCAAATTC